TGTAAGCTCAGGCACTCTACTTGATCTCAGCCTCCCAAGTGCTGGGATTACAAGCATGAGCTACCATGCCTGGATAATCATATTAAGTTTAAATTGAAGAGCAGTATTGTACTCCTTCAGGAAAATATGAATCAAAATATTTTAACAGAAATGCAGTTTAATTGTTACTTTCATATATACACAGCAACTTAAATGAGTTGGTGATGCCAGGCCTTCTTTAATAAGTAAGTCATTTGCAATGAACCTGATTGTAAAGCAAATGAATACTCTTAAATGCTTAAAGAGGTTGCTCTAGATTATTTCTGAGGGAGCTCCAGTTGCACAATCGGTTAGCGCATGGTACTGACAGATTATATTTGAGGTCAATAACAAGAACACATCACAATCATTTTTGTACTTCACCATAGTTTTACTTTAATACAACTCAGAATTCTTGCACTGGTTAGTGCAAAAGGGGTGAAACTTTGTCTCTGCCTAAACTGCGAAATAATAATAAGGTTCTTCTCTTGCCTAATTTTCATCAACTCTTAAAAACAAGCATGTTATATCTGGAGAAACAAATTCACAGTCTGAATTTATTTTATTTTATTTTTTTGAGACAGAGTCTCAAGCTGTCACCCTGGGTAGAGTGCTGTGGCATCACAGCTCACAGCAACCTCAAACTCTTGGGCTCAAGCAATTCTCTTGCCTCAACCTCCCAAATAGCTAGGACTACAGATGCCCACCACAACACATGGCTATTTTTGTTGTTGTTGTTGCAGTTGTTGTTGTTTTAGCAGGCCTGGGCTGGGTTCAAACTCAGCTGTGGCTGATGCCCTAGTCGCTGAGCTACTGATACTGCCAATATTTTACTTTGTTTTCACAAGCAGTTTAAATACTCTCTAATCTCTTCTTTGTTTTCGAACTTGCATAGACCATAGGACTCTTTGAGAGTAAGAACCAGATCTTACTTTTATTCTCAGAAGGCAGCATATATTTGGTTGAAATAATTCCCATGAAAACTGCCCTTCCTTTCTGCTGTCCCATTACAAATTTCTCACTGACAGGATCTGAAGGAAAGTTTTTCCTTTTTTTCTTTTTGGTTTTTTTTTTTTTTTTTTTTAGAGACAGAGTCTTACTTTGCCGCTCTCAGTAGAGTGCTATGGCATCACAGCTCACAGCAACCTCCAGCTCTTAGGCTTAGGCTATTCTCCTGCCTCAGCCTCCCCAGTAGCTGGGACTACAGGCACCCTCCACAACGCCTGGCTATTTTTTTTGTTGCAGTTTGGCCAGGGCCAGGTTTGAACCAGCCACCCTCGGTATATTGGGCCGGCACCCTATTCACTGAGCCGCAGGCACCGCCCTAGAAGGTCTTTCAGTAGCTGCCAATGAGTCTCTGCCCCAGTGCTCCTGAACGCAGAACAGCCAGCCTAACTCAAAGGCCAGGCTAGGTCCCACCCACTCTGCCCAGGCCTGGCCACAGCTTCCCTGCCTGCATTAGTCTTGCCCTCTGCCAGCTCCCAGGACATGTTGCCCCTATCGCTAAGAAACAATGGTCATAATTCCATTTCAGGCAGAAACAAGCTTCATTCAGTTAGAGATCAAAATCAGGGAAAAGAATACTCTCTCTGGGGATCAAAAGGAAACCTTGAGAGAGTTTCATAGTATGATTTCCCATAACCCAGGCAGAGCAGAGTGTCTGGGCACTCACCCTGTGCTGGGGACTAGTCAGTGTGCCCGCCTGTCCGCAGATCTGCGCAATCCCGGAAGGCGGCCTCCCACCCAGCGGCTCCCTAATGGATTTCCATTTCTATCCACTGGGGCCTTAGATGCTGGCTAGCAATTAGTCCTAATCAGGCCCCAGGAGTTTCCTAGGGACTGCCAGCCAGTCTAATTGCTGGCAGCTGTGGGAATGCTCAGCTGCAGGGACAGGCTGTTAACCCCCAGTGTCCCAGGCGCCACAAAGACTCCACCTAGCACATTTCTCCTTATGTGTGGTATAAGCGTGGATAGGTGGCTGATAGGTTTTGGAAAACTCTGCTGAAAGACTAAGTTTACTTTATCTCCAAAGATAAACTTTGTGATAGAGCAAGAAATGCATAATTCTGCTGTGTAACAGGAAATCCTTCATAGGGGAGAAAGTAAGAGTATTAAACATTAAAAAGAATATTATGGACCCGGCACCTGTAGCTCATTGGGTAGGGTGCATACACCGGGGTTGGCAGTCCAAGCCTGGCCAGCCTGCTAAAAACAACAATGACAGCTACGACAAAAAAATAGCTGGATGTTGTGGTAGCCGCCTCTAATCCCAGCTACTTGGGAGGCTGAGGCAAAAGAATCACTTAAGCCCAAGAGTCTGAAGTTGCTGTGAGCTATGATGCCACAGCACTCTACTGAGGGCGACAAAGAGAGACTCTGTCTCAGAAAAATAAGTCTCTTATGGAAATCCTCAAAAATTCACAAAAGTAGGAGAACAGTAGAGTAAGCCCCATATAGCCATCATTGAATTCTCTACATTTCTGCCTTTCTCTTTGACCTCTTTCCTCCACTTTCTTTTTCGTTACACTAGAATATTCTTTCAGCAAATCCCAGACACATAAGTGCTTCGGTGTGTCATTCTAATTTAGTTACCTGTATATTTTTTTAATATATTGGCCAGACATGTGGCTTGCATCTGTAATTCCATCACTCTGGGAGGCCAAGGTGAGTAGATTGCTTGAGCCCAAGAGTTTAAGACCAGCCTGAGGCACAGAGCCCATCTCTACCAAAAATAGAAAAACTGAGGTGGCTCGGTGCCTGTGGCTCAAGCGGCTAAGGTGCCAGCCACATACACCTAAGGTGGTGGGTTCGAATCCCCAGCCCAGGCCCGCCAAACAACAATGATAGCTGCAACCCAAAAATGGCCAGGCATTGTGGCGGGCGCCTGTGGTCCCAGCTACTTGGGAGGCTGAGGCAGGAGACTCGCTTGAGCCCAGGAGTTGGAGGTTGCTGTGAGCGCGATGCCATGGCACTCTACCCAGGGGGATAGCTTGAGGCTCTGTCTCAAAAAAAAAAAAAAAAAAAAAAAACTGAGGCAAGAGGAACACTTAAGCCCAAGAGTTTTAGGTTGCTGTGAGCTATGATAACACCATGGTACTCTACCCAGGGCAACAATGTAGAGACTCTGTCTCTAAATAAATAAATAAAATAAAATAAAATCTTAACATTACTACACCTAACCAAATAAATAATCATCCTTTTATGTTTAATCTTGAGATAAAGTCTAACTTTGTCACCCTCATAGAGTGCTGTAGCATCATAACTCACAGCAACTGCAGACTCCTGGGCTCAAGCCATTCTCTTGCCTCAGTCTCCCAAGTAGCTGGGACTATAGGCGCCCGCCACAATGCCCAGCTATTTTTATTTATTTTTTTAATTGTACTTATTTATTTATTCATTTTTGCCCAGCTATTTTTAGAAACAAGGTCTCTCTCTGGCTCCCACTTGTCTTGAACCTGTGAACTCAGGCAGTGCACCTGCCTCAGCCTCCCAGAGTGCTGGGATTACAAGTGTGAGCCAGTGCACCCAGCCTTGTTTTATTGTTGTTTTTCTGGGTCAAAGACTCACTCTGTCACCCTGGGTAAAGTGCTGTGATGTCATAGCTCACAGCAGCCTCAAACTCTCTGGCTCAACCGATCCTCCTGCCTCAGCCTCACAAGTATCTGGGACTACAGGCGCCGCTACCACGCCTGGCTAATTACAGTTAGTTTGAATCGTGATGTCATACTGGATTCAAGGTCATACTGGATTCAGCTATGACTAAATGACAAGGTAGTCATTTGTTGTATAGAATTTTACTTTCTAAATGTGGCAGATTATATCCTCAGGGTATTCTTTTGTGTTCCTTCAGCCCCTATATTTTCTGTAAACTTTTAGAAAAACCTAGAAGCTTCATGAGAATGAGGTGGTTTGTTTTTCTCCAATACTATATGGGTGATTCTGTGAACTTCTTTTGTTCTTTATTTAAGAGGCACAAAATGTATAGCTGTCTGATTTTAGTGATGTTAAAATCGATTAGTGCGTTCAAATGTGTCGACATGACCCATCTGTCATAAAGGTCCCTATTGACATTTCACTCAACAGTTGCCGCAGACACTGACAATCATTGCCTGGAATGGTGATTTCATTAGGGGTTACTAAATGGTGTTACGTAGTATTCTAATGTCTTGGTTCCTCTGTCATATATTAGCAATGCTTCTTCTACAGGGAAACATCCACCTCATGTTTGGAAAGGCAGGATAAATCCAGGATTCCTTCCCTTTATGGATACCAGGATAATGAATTGATTTCCTAAGCACTTCTAAATTAACTAGAAAGTTTTTTTTTTGTTTTTTGGTTTTTGGTTTTTTTTTTGGAGTATCATTTGAACTCATGGAGTTTTTTTATGTTCAATGTGTTTCAATCTATTGTGGTTCTATTTTTCTCTATTTTATTTATTTATTTATTTTTTGAAACTTCTGTTTTTCATATGTTGGTTCTCCTTTTTTTTTTTTTTTTTTTTTGCAGTTTTTGGCCAGGGCTGGGTTTGAACCCGCCACCTCCAACATATGGGGCTGGCGCCCTACTTCTTTGAGCCACAGGCACCGCCCTGGTTCTATTTTTCTTTTATTTTTTTTTTTTCCTTTTTTTTTTTGGAGACAAAGCCTCCAGCCATTGCCCTGGGTTGAATGCCGTGGCATCACAGCTCACAGCAATCTCAAACTCTTGGGCTTAAGCAATTTTCTTGCCTCAGACACCCAAGTACCTGGGACTACAGGCGCCTACCACAACGCCGGGCTATTTTTTGGTTGTAGTTGTCATTGTTGTTTGGGAGGCCCAGGCTGGATTCAAACCTGCTGGCTCTGGTGTATGTGGCTGGCTAGCTGCTGAGCTACAGGTGCCGAGCTGTGGTTCTATTTTTCTAATGCTAAAGTTATCCTGAGTTTTATCAGCAGTAACCTTTAAAAATTTATTGTTTGTTGTGTTTTTTTTTTTTTTCCTTTAGCTGTGACTCCAGACAGGATCCAAAGAAGAGTTTTATAATCTCTTCCCTGGGTTTTATGGAAACTCACTTTATACTTCTGTGTTCCTCCCTTAAAGCACTGCATCAGCCTTAAAAGGGCACAGGAAAGGGCCGTGTACCCTCTTACCTTGCCTGGTAGCCTTTGAAATTCTAATGCCCCATTCCTGTAATAACAGTTTTCCAAGGAGCCCTGGCTCCTTTTACTAGAACTGGGCATTACGGATGTTCCTTGGTAATGAATTGCCCCTGCTTGTAGTCCAGCATGTTATGTTTAAAGAGACAAAGGGAATCTGTTTTAAATTCAGGTTGGTGGGCAGAGCCTGTGGCTCAGTTAGTAGGGCACTAGCCCCATGACCCGAGGGTGGTGGGTTCGAACCCGGCCCCAGCCAAACTGCAACAAAAAAATAGCCAGGCGTTGTGGTGGCGCCTATAGTACCAGCTACTCAGAAGGCTGAGGCAAGAGAATCACCTAAGCCCAGGAGCTGGAGGTTGCTGTGAGCTGTGTGACACCACGGCACTCCACCAAGGGTGACAAAGTGAGACTCTGTCTCTAAAAAAATAAATAAATAAATTCAGGTTAGTACTAGTATCCTACAAATGACTATTCCAGGAAAAGAATCCCGAAATGGCTTTGAAGGGTGGGCTAGGCGCTGGCATCGGTGCACAGCTTCCCACAGGGAAGTCCTTGGAAGGTGACTATAGTGATAGTCAGCAGTGAGGTATGTAGCATTTTTTTCTAGGAATGAGTTCTCAAACTCAATTATCCAACTTCATACATCTGCACCCATCTTAAATTTCTTCCTTCTTGCCCCAAAGGAGCAAGTGTCCAAAATATGCTTTTGATGAGTTCAATTCCCAGCAAGCTCTGCCATCCTCTCCCCCACTCAGCCTCACGTGAGTCCCAAAGCCACTGCTGCTTCCCTGCGGCAGCGTTTCTTTCTCCTTCCAATCCTTACAATGCTGAGCACAGGGTAGGTCCTCAGTGACACAGTCCCTAGCTGTGCCCCATACCTGTGGCGACACACTTCTCTATTCTAAATCAAGCCCTCGTCCAGGGAGGGACTCTTCTCTAACCACAGAAAGGTGTCATCTGACTTACGGAGGGGAATAAAATAAAACTCTGCAATTGATTCTATTCCAAAGCAGCTCTGCATTAAGGAAGGAAAATCGTGCCTCGAGGAGTGGGCGCCTTCCTTAGAGATCTGTGGAGCCACGTGGGAGGGCAGCCGCAGACCAGAGAAGGAGCCAGCGAGGAACCCCAACCCAGCCCACGGCACGCTGCACCCCACACCCACACGTGCTCACGAAGCCACACGCAGGGGCAAGCTTTCTTGGTTCCTTAATATTTCAGAAACAATGTGTCACTAGTGATTTCTCATCTTTTCTGTGTTCAAAGATTATTTCAGAGAAGCAAGTAAGAGGCCCAACTAATAAGGTGTAAGTGATCCCAGGAAGAACCATCTGCACTTAGATAGTTGCTGGGTGCTCACTGTCTTAGCGGTGGGAAGACCTCAGAGACAGCCAGTAAAACCAGTACCAGGGCCTCCGGACAGAGGCCAGGAGTCCTGACAGGCGTTCCTTCACTGCGCCTCTGCTTACATGCTTTGTCCCTTGTGCTGTATCGATTTGTTTGTGTTTCTCATTAATTAGCAGGTGGAGCCTTGTAGTATTCTAGTTAGGACGTTGGGTTTCGGATGGGACCATCCTCATTAGCTTAAGAAAATAGGTCACTCATTGGCTCACAATTGGAAGTCCAAGAGTAGATCTCAACTCCGGCTGGCCTGGATCCAGGGACCCAAACAATAACCTCAAACCTTGACCCCCACTGCCTTTCACCTCTGCTCCTCTGCGGCCTCAATCCTGCCCTTCTGCAGGTTTTCTTTATGTAGCCAGGAACACAGGTGCCATGGGAAACTGCAAATCACATCCTGCAGGTTTCTCTAGCTCCAAAGCCAAAAAAGATTCTTATCAGCTAACTTGGTTCACAGGCCCAGGGAGTGCTAGGGCAGAGAAAGGGGGCTGACCAACCCATACAACAAATCCTCAGGCCAGATATAACCCTTTTAGTACAAATACGAACGCTAAGGTCTCAGTTTCCCATCTATAAAAAGTAATAATAATACTAACTACCAATAGCAATTAGAAAATTCACGTAAACGCTTAGAACCATTCCCAACATAGAATAAGACCTATATTAATGTTGCCTCTTGTTATTGTTTTCATCATTATGGGCTTTTCCTAGATAATCATCTTAACATCTTCATTCCGGTATCTCCCATTGAACAGAAGCTACATCCTTTTCTGTGGCCAAATCTAAAAATCTCATCTTTATGGCTTCTGGATAGTGTCTTGGATAGGGGAATCTTCCCCACACCAAAATTACAAAAATATTCTCCTAGCTCAGTGGGTAGGATGCTGGCTACATACACCGAGGCTGGCAGGTTCAAACCTAGCCCGCGCCTGCTAAAACAACAATGACAACAGCGACAACAACAACAACAAAAATAGCCCAGTCTCGGTACCTGTAGCTCAGCGGTTAGGGCGCCAGCCACATACACCAGAGCTGGCGGGTTCGAATCCAGCCCAGGACTGCCAAACAACAATGACAACTACAACCAAAAAATAGCTGGGTGTTGTGGTGGGCGCCTGTAGTCTCAGCATTTCGGAAGCTGAGGCAAGAGAATCGCTGAAGCCCAAGAGTTTGAGGTTGCTGTGAGCTGTGACACCATAGCACTCTACCCAGGGCAACAGGTTGAGACTCTGTCTCAAAAAAAAAAAAAAACTCTCCCTATATTTCCTTATTGTAATTTTGTAGTTTTATATTTAATGTTTTAATCTTTATTTCACTTTCTTTCTCCTACTAACTTGGAATTGAATCTCTATCAAATACTAAGTTCCTACTATGAATTAACTTGTTTCTAGAATTGTTTGTGTCATTCCTTTTTTTTTTTTTTTTGAGATAGAGTTTCACTATATCGCCCTCAGTAGAGTGCCAGCTCACAACAAACTCCGACTCCTGGGCTTAGGCGATTCTCTTGCCTCAGCCTCCCCAGTAGCTGGGACTACAGGTGCCTGTCATTAACACCTGGCTATTTTTTGTTGTAGTTCTCCTTGTTTAGCAGGCCTAGGCCAGGTTCGAACCCATGAACTTCAGTGTATGTGGCTGGCACTGTGACCACTGTGCTACAGGTGCCGAGCCAGTTTGTTTCATTCCTTATTCCTATGTCAATTTATTTATTTATTTATTTGAGACTGAGTCTCACTATGTGGCCCTCGGTAGAGTGCCATGGTGTCACAGCTCACAACCTTCAACTCTTGGACTCAAGTGATTCTCTTGCCTCAGCCTCCCAAGTAGCTGGGACTACAGGTGCCCACCACAATGCCTGGCTATTTTTTGTTGCAGTTGTCATTGTTGTTTAGCAGGCCCAGGCTGGGTTTGAACCCACCAGCCTATGTGTATATGGCTGGCACCATAACCACTGTACTACAGGCACCGAGCCCCTATGTCAATTTAATTATTCTACCTTTGCAGTAAATTTTGGTGTCGCTAAAGGCAAGTTTCCCCTGCCATCATACTTTTTAAGAAATGAATCTGGACTAGCGTGGTGGCTCACATCTGTAATCTCAGCATCTTGGGAGGCCAAGACAGGAAGATTGTTTTAGGCCAGGAGTGTGAGATTGTGGTAAGCTAGGATGACACCCCTGCCCTCTAACCTGAGACCTTGTCTCAGAAAAAAAACCAAAAACAAATTTAATGTCTCTCATTTTTCACTCTCTTACTAAATCCTAGTATTTCTAACAGTTTTTGCTTTATGATTTCAAAGCTATGCTGTTGAATTCATAAAGAATCATTACTATAACTTATTAACTTATTTAATGAATATTAAATGTCTATTTTAGTTCCATTAATGCTTCATTTTTTTATTTATTTTTTTTGAGACAGAGTCTCACTCTGTTGCCCTGGGTAGAGTGCTGAGGCATCATAGCTCACAGTGAACTCAAACTTCTGAGCTCAAACAATTTTTTGCCTTAGACTCCTGAGTAGCTGGGACTACAGGCATGCCACAATGCCTGGCCAAGTTTTCTTTCTTTCTTTCTTTTTTTTAGTTGGCGGTGGCGTCTGGCTCTTGCTCAGGCTGGTCTCAAAGTCCTAAGCTCAAGGATCTTCCCGCCTCAGCCTCCCAGAGTGCTGGGATTCTAGGTGGAGCCACCACGCCTGGCGCCATCAGTGCTTTTTGCCTTGACTCTTCCAGGTCCTGCCTTCTTTATTTTTCCTTGTCTTCATCCCTGCTGTGTTTTTAGCCCTCCGTAAAATTTTGGTGTGGATGTACTTGATGTAAAAAGCGTAACCTTTGTAATGCAATATAGGATTTGTTATATTATTTATTTATTTATTTTAGAGACAGAGTCTCACTTTATCACCCTCCGTAGAGTGCCGTGGCGTCACACAGCTCACAGCAACCTCCAACTCCTGGGCTCAAGCGAGTCTCCTGCCTCCGCCTCCCAAGTAGCTGGGACCACAGGCACCCACCGCAACGCCTGGCCATTTTTTGGTTGCAGCCGTCATTGTTGTTTGGCGGGTCCGGGCTGGGGATTCGAACCCGCCACCTTAGGTGTATGTGGCTGGTGCCTT